AGTAATGTGTCAAGGTAATCGCAGGAGGTAAAAATGAAACTCAGTCAGTACCATCTTTGTAAGCACTGGATCAAAACTTCCAGAGTCTGACCTTGTGGCATATTCTTACACATTTAAGCATAGTAAAACTTTGGAAGAATGTTTCCTCATGACAAACATCACAACAAAGTTTTAGCTATAGCTACAAAGGAACCCCCTAGCAAAGTAGCAAAGCACCTGTGACCTTGGCAATAAGAATGAGTTCTATTGGCTGATAGACAGAGGTCAAGGCTAGGGCCTACAAGAAGGATCTGAGAAAAGCATAAGGATAGATTATATTGATAGAGGATGCAAAGTACATGGGGCCTCTTTCATAAGAATGTGTTCTCTTCACTGCAGGAGTAGGGCCTGAACAATGCTCAGGAAATTGGGGGCATTCGGGTGGAGGCTGGCTCCTGGTAGGACTGCAAAGCCTCACCAGGATGTTTGAGCACTTCCACTCTGGCATTCCAGGTGACCAGGCATCAGTGACAAGCCAGGTTTCTCTAATGCCTGCTTGAAGCTGTGCTTCCTACAGAGTTGATTTTCAGTATCTCTGACATAGAAAGACTTCCATGATGATATTAGGATGGCTCTCCTATTTTCAACTTCAGTCTGCACACAAACTGCTCATTTTGCCAATACTGGCTTTAACTAGGTTGGAGTGAGAAAGGATTCTCACTGAGCATTGTGACCTAGAAACCAAAGCAGACAATCCAAGTATCAAACGCTATGACTGTATAAAAAGGTTAACAGCAGTACAAACAGAGAGGAAGACAAACTCATGAAAAGGACAAAGGAAAGGCAACAGCTACCACCAATGCACAGGGAACAGGTTAGAAAACTCACATATGTGTGGCAAGTGAGAGAGAGGTTGTAAATGATAAATACTGAAGACTGGGAAAGAGTAAGAGTTTAGTCTAAATTGATTAGGAAAAAAAAACTATATAGGCTTTTGGAGTCAAACACATGAGCTTAAATGCTTGGCTGGCATAAGAGACAACCATAAGAATTTCCATCTAATTCATAATTCAGAGGACTAAATAATAAAAGTTCACAACTTAGAACAATATTCAAGAATAGGTAACTTAAAATTAAGCATTCTGGACCAATACAGAACTGCTAACTTACCAGTGTGTAAATTTCAGACAGCAAACAGCTGCTAACTGTAGAAGAGCAGTTTCCCAGCCTAGAGATAATCACAGGATTCAAGGACACAGTGAATCTTTTACACATATTTTAAACCAAACAGCTCAACAGTAGGCATGATTTGACCACTAGGTGGCATCACGACAGCTGCATTTCACATTTAAAGAACAAAACAAGAAGGAAAAAAAAAAAAACTAAGTAAATCCAGAAAAAGAACCAATATCATGTGTAAATGGAGACTGCTTGTTTGTTTCCCGGCCACCCAGACCCAAATGATCACACAGAAACTATATTAATTACAATGCTGTTTGGTCGATGGCTCAGTATTCCTAACTAACTCTTACATCTTAAATTAACCCATTTCCATTACTCTGTGCATCACCACAAGGCTGTGGCTTACTGTTAATGTTCCAAAGTGTCCTTCTCCTTCGGCAGCTATATGGCATCCCCTTGACTCTGCCTATTCTATCTCTGTTCTGATTTCCCACCTGGCTTTACTCTGCTAAGCCATTGGCTCAAACAGATAAAAGCAACACATATATAGGACATCCCACATCAATCATGGATACACAGAATTTAAAAAGAATTGTCAAAACTCTTAGAACAAACTAAAGAATTCCTTTATGTGTTAAAAGAATTCTTATCTTGAGCACTTCCTAGTTATTTGTGCTTTCTTCAAAAAATAGACTACAAACATGATTTATCTAAAATAAAAACTTTATTTTTATATCGAATAAAATCAGTCAAGTAAGACAAAATTTTCAAGTTATAGATATTTCTAAATATTCAGTAAAAAAAATTAAATTTCAAATTTCAGATGTTTTCCAAATATTTATGGTAGTTCATATTATTACATGTAATTAAAAACACTTATGGAAATTAGGTAAATAAATAATTCTATTCTGTTATCCAACTCAAAATAAAAAATCTTTTTCTTTGTATAAATAAATCTAGTTCCCAAAATTTTAACACCTAGTTTCCTCCAAATGAAGAGATGAAAATTTCTCTTATAAGCCACCTTCCCAGTTTCTCTCAATTACTTCTTACATATAATTCATTTCCAGGATTACCTTTTCCATCAACAAAAACATAAGAAAACAGAAATATGACTCTAAGTTATTTTTATAATTCATAGATTATTTCCACCATCATTATTGAACTTCATTTTTAAATTATTACATATCATCCTGAAATCTAGCAATTTAATTCTCAACCTATACAAATACAAAAGCCAGATAACCACTTAAGATCATTATTACAAGAAAAGATTTCTATTGCAGCCCTCAATTCAAGCAAAAGAATTAGGGAAAGTGCTCAGTTATCTATCTTTTAAAGCTAGAACCTGTAGGATATGCCACCCTTAGATCACTGACTTACAGAAGCAAATATGAATATACCATTTATAGCTACACAGAAGTGGTTGTTTTTACAAGGAGATAAGACACATAATCCTCAAACCACTTCAGTTACATTTTTGTATGTATATTATAGGACTGTTTGACATGAAGAAAATTAAAGCCACATTTCAAAGTGCCACACAAATACAATTATCACAACAATGATAAAATTCAAATGCTGCTATTGACTTGAGTTTGTCATCTTCTGTTTATTTCTGATGGTGGCTCTAAGTTTACGTATTACCAGTCTGTCAGGTAGAATCATGTCACCTTGTTGTTCTAGATAATCTAGTAAGTTCTCAGTCCACTGGAGAGCATCTGCATGATTTATATGTTTTTCTGGAATCAGTTCAATCCCTTCCTCATCATTTTCACTGGATTCATCTGTCTGACCCTGGGCTCGTCTGATGATTTCACTGTCAGTTAACACTTCATAACCTGGCTCAGTACTGTCAATCTCAAGCCACTTTTCCATATTTTCAGGAGTCACATTTTCCAGTCCTTTGGTATGCTGTAAAATGGTGGCCACAGTAGCCCCAGAAATATCTTCTTCATCAAAGTCCAAGCTCTCTTTTTCTTCTATGGCAGGAAGAATCTGTTTCCAAGCTCTGCTAATGGTAGTTGGCTTTACTAAGTTCCAAGCCATTGCTATTTCGTAAAGTGCATCCAACAGAGTCAGTTTCTTCCAGAATGATTTCAGGTCGTTGCCTTCTTCGAGATTGTTCTGGAGAAGACCTGCGCGATAGTTTCTTTTCATGGTTGCTATGACTCCCTGATCCAAGGGCTGAATCGATGAAGCTACATTAGGTGGTAAGTATTTTGCAAATATTTGGCCATCATCTGACCTCAGGACATTTTCGTTTGGATGTGTTGGGGAATTATCCAGCAGGAGCACGGCCTTTTCCTGCAAGCCTTTAGATCTTAAGTACTCTCGAACCTGAGGCACAAAAATCTTATCGAACCATTGCCGGAAAATGGAGAGATCCATCCATGCACCTTTCTGGCTGAAGTAAGAGACAGGCAGGTTTAGGGTGTCAGTCTCCTTGAAGGAGCGAGGTTTCTTTGCTTTGCCCACAACACAAAGTTTAAGTTTGTGTAAGCCTGTTGCGTTGGTACAACACAGAACAGTGACTCTTTCTTCCAATGAGCTGTGCCCCGGGACAGTGCATTTACCTTTAACTACTGCAGTCCTGGAAGGTAGGCACTTCCAAAAGAGTCCAGTCTCATCTGCATTGTAGATCTGCTCGGGCTGCAAATTCTCACGTTCGATAAAATTTCTAAAGTTGTTACAAAAATCTTCCACAGCAGTCTCATCTCCATTTAATCTCTCATTTCTAATATTGATCTCTCTAATGCTGTGCCTCTGCTTGAAGCGGGTTAACCAACCAGCAGAAGGGTTAAAATCACCATCCATTCCCAGAGCATAGAAAAAGAACTCTGCCCGTTTGGCACAAATTGGTCCGGATACGGGATTCCCTTTCGCTCGCTGCTGATTGAACCATTCTAACATTGCTCTGTCTAGTTCCTCATACATGGATGGCTTCATAGATTTTCTCTTAGCCAGAAGACTTGTGGAATCAGAGCTGCTTGCATAAGTTATAATCTTTTCCTTATTCTTTCTTATGTCCCTAACTGTTGTTTCACCAATTCCATAGATCACCGCCAACTGCTTGGAAGAGCCTCCATCTTCGAGTTTCTTTATTATGTCAAGTTTATCTTTAATAGTCAACACCACGCGCTTCCGCTTCCCTGACATGGCGAGGTCTGGCACCCGCTCACACTGCTGCAATCCTTACTGAGACTTAAAGAGTCTTGAGCACTCGACCCCTTCGCTTCCGCCGCTGAAGCGAACGCGAGGCTGGGCTGGCAAGGGCAAGGCCGGTGACGGGAAATCTGCGGGCCGAGGAGGAGGCGGAGGCGGCCTCTCTTCCCCGCGGATAACCGGGCCGGCAGGTCCCGCAGTTCCCGCTCCAGCCCGGGGCGCCCAGGCCCCGGATGCAGGCCCTCCGCTGACCCTGCCACGCCCCGGAGCCGGCGCAGGGCGGAAGAAGCGGGCTGCCCTCACCCAGGCATCCGGGCCTCCGTCTCCTCCACCCGCAGCCGCTCGGGAGCTCGACCCCGCACTCCCACCGCAGCGGCTCCCCAACTGGGGCGACGCGGCCGCTCCTCCCTCCGCGCGCGCTCCCGGAAGCCGCGCCCCAGCTCGCGCGCTGCGGCCCCGCGCCTGTCCCGCCTGGAGGAGGGACTTCCGGCTCCTCCCGGAAGCGGGGGGCCGTGGCGCCAAGGGAATCTGGGCGGGGGCGGAGGCAGGGGCGGGGACGGGGGCGGGGGCGGAGGCGGGGCGGCAGCTGGGCGGGGACAGAGGCGGAAGCGAAGGCGGAGGCGGGGACAGAAGCGAAAGCGAAGGCGGAGGCGGTGGCGTTTTGAAAGGTGAGCGCTAGAGGGTGGTTCCCTGCAGGCTCCTGGCGGGAATTCTCCGCTCTGGTCACGGTCGCCTCCCGCAGAGCCCAGGCGGAGTGTCGCGGCGCAGAGGGCACCTGCCATCCCTTAGCTGTGCGTCACGGACGCGGGAAGGGGCGCGTCGTGAGATCGCAGCCGTCCACGGGTGTCTGTGAGAGCGCGGGGGTTTTCTCAACCCCGTACCTGGCTGTGCGCAGCTCCTCCTGGGAGCACTCTCCTCAGCACACACTCCCAGTCAGAGTGCACAGACCTTGTTCCCGGTCCCTGTCTCTGCAGACCCCTCTCTGGATACACAGCCCTCGGGGAGTCTTGTGAAGCCCGGGCAGCGGTTCCTGTCTTCTGACAGTAGCCACCGCTCTGTTTTTGGAGGCCTGCGCACCTGCTTCCTGTATCTGGGGAATTAGTCCCGCCAGAAAGCCAGGTTGGTAATCATGACTGTGACCCTGGTGTTCACACCTCAAAGGAATTTTTTCTTCTCTCAGACATTCATCCTTGCTGGGTTCAGGGAGGCACAGTCCCTGGGACAGATGCTAGTGAATGATCTAGTTATCCTGGATGCCAGGCTGGCAGGACCCTCTCTACGAGATTGGGAAGTATTGAACTGTGATGTCAAATGGAAGGCCTTGGCTTGCATCTTAATAGCTTTACTTCATCATTTCCTTTTTCCTGTTGTGCTATGCTGCCCTCTTTCCTGCCAATGGGAGGACGATGATAGATTGATTCAGACCCATGTGACAGAAACTTAGCAGAACCGTGCATGCGGCCCTCACATCTTTTCTTGTGCTGGTTTGATTTCCATGTCCCTAGTAATTTCATAAGATTGTGAACTCCTTGTGAGCAGAGGCTGCATTTATTTCTTCTAGTGGCACCACTGCTCCAGAACATGTGCTGGCGTTTTGATAAATGTTAATACCTTTCTTTAGCTTGTAATATTTCCTCTCCAAACCACCATATAAAAAAACATAAAAGAGAGTTGATATTCTGCAGATTTCACAAATTAATCCCTTTTGGCAGGATTTCCAAAAGTAGCATAGCCTTTGCATTTCAAATCAGAGATAAGTACCTGTCCTCTGCCTACATTGTTTGTAGAGCAAGTAGGTGACTTCGGTATGAGATTGTTCTTGAGTATGAATTAACCTCAAATTCTAAAAGAACATATTTCTCCTGATGGGACCTTCACGTGTCATCAACAGTACCTGCTTTTACCTGTAAACTTACTTTGAAAGAACACATCCTTTGACAGACATCCCAGTTAATATGTTCATCTTCCATGACAACCATAAAGCACATGATAGTATTAACTTCATTCACTTATTTGATGCTTTCTGGTGGGGTCTTTGTTTTTCTCCTTGTCTAAAAGTAAGATATATTGATAAAATTCTCATTTGAAGTATTTAATTCCGCATAAACAAAACTTTCACCTATTTGCATGGGTTCTGTTGCAGGTGAATTCTAAACATGGAGCTGTCTTACCCATTAACTTGGCTTTATTTTCTCATTTGACTCCCCTGGGTCACTCCCCTGTTCCCTCTGACGATCTTCCCTCCCAGATAATTTAGTAAAGCTGTCCTTAATTTAAAAAGAAGAGCTAACCACATTCAAAAATCTCCCTTTTGATAGCAGGTTTATTTTTACCTTATTGATAGAAATGACAATTTTGAAATAGACAGGAGCCCTGGCAAATGTGTAGTTTGCCAAATGAAACTTAATTTAAATAAAATATATCTTCAAAAAGGTCAAAGTCTTCATTTTTCCATAGGAATTTTTGCTTTGGACCTTACCAAAAGCTCCATAAATTTTGTGATTGATGTCATCAATAAAATGTGGAGGAAAGTCTGCAGCCTTCCATCTCTTGTATATTTTTTTTCCTTATTTAATGGATAATTTTCAAAAATTTCTGACTTAAGCCATGTGCACTTAAATTTAGTTAGGTAATCTTAGAAAAGCATGTTTGTTAGCTTTTACCGTGGTGGTGGTGGTTGTTTTCTGAAACTAAGATTTAGCATGACTAAGAAATAAACTATTACTTCTACGTGTTAGTTCTTACTACGTGTATTACAATATGCTACCAGCAGTCACTGTTTACCACTGGACGGGCATCAGGAGACCTGTTTTCTAACCCTGCTGTGTCACTGACGAGTTCTGTGATCTTTGGTAAGTCATCTAAACTCTATGTACTTGGCTTTAATATTTGTATATGATGATAATAGTATCTTCTTTGGAAGATCATTGACAGGATTTAAAAATAAAGATGAAAGGATACTGATCAATTTTAAATATAGATGATTTCTTTTATACCTTCATTATGCAGAGTCACATGTCTTAATAATAGTCTTAATTAGTGGTCCTAATCATTTCTGCTGTTGTCCTGCAATCGCCCATTGTAAGATAAATGTCCTTTGAGAGTGCTGTAGTTTTACAGCAGCAGTCTGGTGTGTGTGGACCTGCTGTGTGGACTAAACTAAAGTCATCGTTCACGTGGACACTTCTTACTGTCCATTTTTACTTTCATCTACCTATTGAAACCATGTTTGTCTTTTTATTGACGAGTTTTTCATTATTTCTCCCAATTCAAACCAGTTTCCTAGAAAATCTTATGATTGTGTAATACACATATGCTAAGTTGGCTTATGAAAATTTATATGTGCTTACAAATACCTTACTATATAACTTCAAAACATAAGTTGCCTAGTTATTCTAGTGTTTAATAAAAAAAAATCTTTTCAAAACTATTGGAGAAATTAGATGGACATACTGTAAAGTGGTGAAGTATGCAAAAGGTATGCTTTGAAGAATAATCTAGGGTTTTTAAGGTAACTTTCAGTATATATCTTTATTGTTTTTCTCTTTGTTGGCTTCAGTATAACACTTATGTAGATTATAACCAACTGTAGTTCAAATAAACCATTTGGTTTACTAATTGGCATTTGATGCTATCACTGTCAAATTAATTATATACTATCAAAAAGTTACAATCAGCCGATGCTATCTACACAGGTCATGTTTTGGTGTATAATCTAATAATTTATGTTGTTCTGATTTTATATGAGAAGTTACCATATAGGAAGGCATACTGCCTTATAGTCATATAAGAATTAGTATACTTAATTTATTCTTTCCCCCTCCAAGTAATAATTTTGGAACACTATGAATGGTCCAGTATTGACAACATTGCTTAAAATTATTTTGGATTTGTAGTTTTGATACAACCTTTATAGTTAGTCACACATTTTTTAATATTTTCAATGATAGTTAATCTTTATCTTATAAATATTTATTTTCTCTAAGCTTCTAACAATCTCTTCGAACTGAGGCAAATAAAGTGGGTGTTTGAAGCTGATGTTTGGCATATAAAACATAAGCAGTGTGATTATTTTTGTAATCTTGGATTAATTTTTAAGGTTACTGTTATATATAGAAAGACCAGAAATATTGTGTGCTATTGTAGAATATTTTAATTTCCATAAGCTTTTACACATGTACTATGAGGTCATATTACCTTATGATTCTACTTCTGTTCCTTGGCGACCACAGAAGCACATATGAGTTACTAAGTTTCTGTGTGTCTTCCCTGTCAGTAATTTAGTACATGCCTGTGATAAATTTAGTGGAAAATATTTTATAAAATCACAAAGGGACAGCTGTGATTTCTCCTCCCTGTACCATGCTCTGCTTTACCACGAAGCTTCTCTTCCTGCAGACTTCTCACTTGACTACATTATTGGACATTTAGTGAGTTTTGCTGAGTTGTTCTGTAGTTTCTAAGAGCAGTATAACCCCATCTCTACTTCACAAAGGAGTGTAGCAGCCACAATCTTAGCAGATAGGCTCACTCTCCGCATTGTATTGTATCTCTTTTTATATCAATTACTAAATTAATACTTTGTTCATGTAACATGGCTGAGCCTTTAAATTTCATGTTATTTCTGTTCCAAATCAAGTCCTTCTTTGCCTGAGGATGGATTGTCTTTGTAATTCAGTGTATGCATGTTGAACACATATATGCAATGTATGTGAGTTTGATTGACAGTGCAGGTGTATATGGACACCAAGATGGATGTAGAGATATCGTTTTTGATTATTTCTCGCAATATTATTGTTACTATTATTGTTGTTATTATCACTGTTATTTGAAACAAGATTTTCACTAAACCTAGAACTTGTCATTTGAGTGAACTAGCCGGCTAAGCAGCTACCCCGGCATTTCACTTGTCTCTGTCCTGTTGGACATCCAATGCTGGGTTTGCTGTGCACCGAACCAGCTAGTTTTTAATGTGGGTGATGAAGATTCCAGCCCAGATCCTAATGCTTTCATTACAGCAGTTTGCCTGTTAAGCCATCTCGCAGCCCTGTCTTTATAATTCCATCATTGTTTTCTATTCTTGTCTCCCTTTTTTCGTGACAGAAGCTATTTATCCCTTTTTAGTAACACCTATTTACTAAGTGTGTCATGTTCTTTATCAGTGCCAGAGTTTTGCCCATACTATATTTACTTATCGGAAATTACTTTTTCATTATTTCTTTACAAATCAAGCAGGTTCTTGAAAATTTTGCCTAATCAACTCTGTTCATAATGGTCTTTGGTGAATTAATTGCCACACTAATCTTTCTGCACATTTCTATCACATTTATGTTTATCATTTAATATTGACCACCTTGAGTTTTTCTTAATTATGTTTGCATGTTTAATTAAGTTTTATACAATTTTCTAAAAGGACACAGGACTATGATTTTCTTGTATATTTTTTCAGCACAATATAGCATAATTAAGAATATGTGTTAAAAAATAGTTTATGAATTATTTGTACATTGTTCTGTGTTTTTTTTGCTAAAATATCTCATGTGATTTGCCTTTGTGAGTCATTTAATGAAGCTAAATTGATGTGTGCCGTGTTTTCATTGCTATAATATGGTTGTCATTGTTATGTTCCCAATAACTTTATTTTGTAGACGCTTAAGTGAAAATGGTACATGTTAGAAGACCTGAAACAAGGAGAAATTCTAAAAGCCAAGTACCTGAGCAAAAATCTCGAGTTGATTGGCGTCGGACTAAAAGAAGTATCTCAAAGCTTTTTGATAGTGATGACGAGCTTGATAGTGATGAGGAACTTGAACTTGATAGTGATGAGGAACTTGAACTTGATAGTGATGAAGAGCTTGAGAGTAGCAAGAAGCCTGGTATTAATGAAATACCAGAGAAGGAAACAGAGCTTAAATTAATCAAAGTTGAAAGTGAGGGAAACAGCAGTAAGCCTCTTAGAAACACCGACAACAGTTCAACAGAGGAAGAAAAAATGATCACAAGTGAGCATAATGACTTGGCAGATGATGAAAATCACTCAGGTCAAGAGGAGGATGGTGCCAGCAAGCACAGCAAACAAGTCACAGAGGAGGATGTGGAAGATGAGTGCATCAAGCCAGGAAAAAGAAAGAGGCTGTCTTCTGTAATGTACGACAGTGATGAGAGCGATGACAGTGACGTCCCCGTTAGGAAAGCAGGTGCTAAACGTCCACCCAGGGTGGTCGAAGAAGAGTCTTCTTCATTGGAGATGGAAGGAGAAACCCCTGAAAATTCAATGGCTGCTCAAAAGCGAGAACACCACCAGAAGCTAAAGGAACTCTCAGAAAGAGCACGCCAGAGACAAAGACGCAATAGTGGTAGAGGTTTTGAGGTGTGTTTTATTTTGTTGGTTTATTGTTGTTAAAATTTTACTTGAAAATCATTTAGTTGTTTTTTACAGATATTAAAGTACAGAATCTATTCTTTTTCCAATGTTAGAATTTTTAAATAAACATCCTTGAATATTGTACTATTATATTTAGTAATAATAATTTATTGTGAGCCTCACTCTCTTTTAAAAATATTGAAGGACTATTTGTTGTTCTGTATGGTCTTTCCCATTCTTAATTACTCATATTCTTAATGTTTATTTTAAACATTTCACATCACCAAAGTGTACAGTTCTTCCATTTCAAAAGCTCAATATTTAGCTGTAAAATATGTGTTTAATTGTATGGATCTTTTTTGCCTTCAGATTTAAGTTTATACCTATCCTGGCTTTTTTAAAGCCATAATATTTACTGAAGCATTTATTTTCATTTAATTAGGACTCTGAAAAGGAATCTTGTTCAAGTACTGATGAAGATGTGGATGAGGATGCTTACAGAGATGGAAATGAAGATGGCTATGTGATTGATGACTTTGTAGTGCAAGATGAGGAAGGGGATGAAGAGAGTAAAAGTCAACAAGGAGAAAGTTTGACTACATCACAGCTGAAATTAGTAAAACAGAATTCACTTTGTAAGTTAAATATGAAGACAATTGTGTCTTTTTCACATCATTATATAAAGCATCAAAGCCTATTAATATCATCTTCTGAATCATTGGTAAAGAGCTATGAGTTTGGATATTTTAAATTTGACAGTAAAAGTTTCTTCCATTGGTTTCAAGAATTCATTGCCCTCTTAAATACTGTTAACCCCAGCAAACAGCCATCTGTTTTCATCAGGCTAACTTTGTCAGTATTTATCACTGTAAATACAATCAAAAACACATTTATTAAAATAACATTAGAAAATTTACTATATTGACAAAAACATTGTATAGAAAATAGCTATTTTCCAAAATAGGAGACTGGCCTTGTTCTGTTCTTTGAAATCACTTTGAAGATGTCTTTCTAAATTTGCATGTGTGTGCCTGTGTGAGTTTATGTGCACAATAGGCATGCATGCACACATGTCCCCGCAGAAGCAAAGGGCACTGGGTTCCCTGGCATTAAAATTAAAGGCAGTTGTAAGTCTCCTGATGTGGGTGCTGGGAGCCGGACCCAGTCCTCTGCAAGACTAGTAAGCTTTGTTAACCACTTAACTACCTCTCTTGCCTTGTTAGATATATTTAATGTGATCTTACTAAACGGAAGCTGGATTCTTATATCTTATATCTATAATATGTTTTGTTGAACATGAAACAGTTTACCACTGATATATAGCTGAAAATGGAAAGATCATTTTTGTAGTATTTCCAAAATAATTATATATATATATATATATATATATTCCCATCAGATAAAGTTAATACACAAAAATCCAACACATGATACTTCTCTGAAGGATAGTTGCAATGTGGAAACTGAAACCATGTAAATGGATTTTAAATACTCATAGCCATTGGCAATCTTGCATTTTATTCAATATTTAATCCATGCATGATTTTATAAGAGGACATTGGTCATTTGGAAAATACTGGTTTGCTGGGTTATATAGCTACTTCATATCTTCACATGTATCACTGTGTTTTTTATCAGTATCTGTTGATACCATGATTTCATCGGAATATTCCTATACTATTTAGACGCTATCACATGCACAGTTACTAATTGCAAGTTTTTCAGAATTGTGATTTTTACTTAAAATCTTTACTTATTGGCAACAAACATAGCAAATTATACTTACAGCGACAGGCTCATATTGTTCTTTCTTGAGAAAACATTTGACAAAAATTGAATATTTAGTTTGTCATTTTTTCTTTCAAGTGAAAGTGGTTGTTTCATGACAGATGAAGCTTTGCCTTAGTTATGGTGGCTGCATGAGAGATTTCTCCTCAGAACCACCATTCTGTTTTGTATGCAGTATAAGTGCATTCTATAGGGTACTAAAAGACTTGTTCATTACAGTAAAGATTAATGACATCAAGGGTATTCCTAAAAGGCTATAGTGTTTATCACTGTGCCTCCCTGTGGTGACTGCCATCACTGTCGTCCGGTGCCAGTGCTGTGCTTTTTGTGAATGGGTAGCTGTTTTGCCAGTTGTACTTTTGCACAATCAATGAAAATGTCAGAAAAATATACTGCTTTAGTATCGATAATTGTATGGCTCTTACTGTATCTTTAATAGATGATGGACAATATACTTATTCTAAAACTGGCTTTTATCTAAAGCTGGTTTTTATCAAGCTTTTTGAATCTTCACACAAACAATGAAGCCTACCAAAAACAGGAAATTTTCTTTTGTTGTGTGTATGTAATTAATAGAATTTTAAATCAGAAAATTTGAAAATGTGGAGTACATTTAAATATACATATCGGATCCCTATAATTTTGCATAAATTTAAGGATTGTTTTCATGGTGATTTACAGTACATAGAAACATGTTCATATATTAAAGAATACATTCTTCCTAAATATTATCTTAGGAAAGTCATATTTACTAAAATCAAGTAATAGCAGTTTGACTTTTATTCCACAATTTGTAATGATACAGTAGGTTGAAGAATGATTCATGCCAGGTGGTGATGGTGTACAACTTTTAATCCTAGCTCTTGGGAGGCAGAGGCCGGTGGATCTCTGTCAGTTTGAGGCCAACCTGGTCTACAGAACTAGTTCCAGGACAGGCTCCAAAGCTACAGAGAAACCTGCCTCACATAAACCAATAACAACAACAAAAAAGAGAATGATTCATAGTTCAAGAAACTTAACAAATTAAGGGAAAAAACAAGACATTTCCAAGTTAATCTCTAACTTTCTAATAACAACACTTGGGCATTTGCATCAAAAGAATACTTAAATAAGAGACATACCATCGTAATGGTTTCTTTATCCAGACTGTGTTAGATATGTGCAAATCCAGTATGTGTAAACTACTACTAATTCCTTCTCTGCCTACTCCCCTCTGCTTACTTTATTTTAATGGCAGTTTGGGAATTAGAGAATTGTCGATGGAAATTAGAGTTGCTGCGTACTCCCACACCGGCGCAGTTTCTCTATTACTGACCTCTTAGACCACTTTGATACTTCTGTTACAATTGATGAGCCTATATTGATCCATTATCACTAATTCATAGTTCACATTAGAGCCCTCTCTTTGTTGTGTACCTTTCATGCATGTTGACAACTGTCTAATGACGCCCATCAGCATAGTGCGAGTCCCTAAATTATTCATGTTGTGGTTTACTGTTCTCCACACACGTGTGTATTTGAATACTTACTTGCTGCAGTGACACTGTTTGGGAAGTTAAGAAGACTTTAGATGTTGGGACATGTTGGAAGAAGTGTGTTTCCAAGGATCAGACCTTAGGAATCACAGCTCAAGCCCTGCTTCTGGCTTCTGTCACACACTTTCTTGCTCTCATTTTCTTTTCAGTGCTTCACTGTGATATAAGCAGCCTCATGCCTCTGCTGATGCAACTGTAAGCTGTTCTTGCTGCCATGGTCTGTACCCTGAAATAATTAGCCAAAATAAATCTTTCCTTTTTTGGGTTACTTCTTGTCTGGTATTTAATTAGAACGATGTGAAAAGTAGTAAGTGTACATTTCCACTGATGTATTTGTTTTTGTCTCCATAGTTTTAATGTCACACATTAATTTCGGAATGTCACACAGTTAAAAAACAAACAGCGCATGTAACTTTCGCCATGGTCTCTTCACCTAACTGTTTGTCTTGAGAGTTTCCCCATGGCTAACCCAGTTGCCATAGCTCACCTAGTTTTGTTCCCGAGTAAAAATTATTGTATGGATTTGCCACAGTATATGCACTCACCTATTGCAAAGCATCTTGGTTGCTTCCATGTTTTGGCAATTATGAATAAAACTAATATAAACATTTGTGTTCAGGATTTTCTGTGGACATAAGACTGTATCCCACTTGAATAAGTTACAGGGAGCTTTGAGTTTACTTTTAATATTAAATATCGCTGCCTCAAGAGTTTGTATTTCACTTTCTATGTAATTATTTTGTATCTTCTATAGTTGGAGTAATCTTACTCACCAAGTTGTGTTTCTTAAGTAGTAATATTCTTGTTCTTCCTTTCTTGATTTGACATATTCTATGAGTCACTATTCTAACTTTTTTTTTCTTGTTTACTGTGGAAGTGCAGAGGCTCCTGATAAAGACGGTCTCGGGATAACCTCTGTTCACTAACATATTCTTCATTTGTGTTAACCCAGTGTTGCTTTGTGCTTTGCCCACTGGCCACTCTCACTTCTTGATTAACGCCTCTTTAGTAGCTTCTACACTATCACTCTCTCCTGCCTCTCCTAATGTTACACTAGTCTCCCATTTGTCGTTCAGCTTCTATAGATTCCAGGATTTCATCATCAAGTGCCTTCATTTTGCTTGTACTTAGGGCAGTTTCCCATCACTTTAACCCAGAATATAGACAAAAGTTCCCAAATATTTTACTTCAGACAAGATTTCTCCTGAGGCAAAGGTCCAAATTTTCATCATCTCAGTGGATATGTTTATCTGAGTATCTTTTAGATATCTCTAGCTCAGTAAGTAGAAAACTGAGATATTGTCAAGGAGTTGAGGTAGTAGATCAGCTGTTGTTAGGAAGGTGAGAAAATTTTATACATTATCAGAACTGGACATCAAAAAGAATTTTTTAGTATATGTAAAAGTAAACCCCAATGAAATAAGCATCTGACTGCTGGAAGAAAAGGCTAGACAGTTGGCAACTTTCTCTCTTGTATTCTTACTCATTTTGTTTTCATTCTTTTTATTTCAATTAAGATAGGAAGTTACAATGTCACCTAGGCTGTCTTGAACTCACTGTATAGCCCTGCTTGATTTTAAACCAATGGTAATCATCCTGTTTTGGATCTCCAGAGTTTCAAGGATTGCAGTCCTTAGCTACCTCTCCTAGTGCTTAAGGCTTTGTGGCATTTCAGTTGAGTGGGTGATTAAAATAAACATAGTGTCAGAATATTCCTACATTTTATGGACTGCAATAAATGCCAATCATGTTCAGTAAGATTTGAAGAAAAAAAATCTATTGCATTTTCTTAATGGTTGAACTTTATCCCAAAGTGGTTGAGTTTAAACTTTTCCCCAACATTTCTGTAAATAATTCCCAGAAGAGCTTTCCCTTAATATAGTTTGCAAAGTCTTAGATGGTGTTTGGATGAATTTTTAACTCAAAATTATATGCCAGCTTTATTTTATACCTGAGTTGAAAGTCTAGCCAGAGGTAAATTCTTTGGAAGTATTACTGTATTTTACTTTCCCATTAGATGCTTCTGATTTGTACGTGCATGCGCGCGTGCGTGCGTGCGTGCGTGTGTGTGTGTGTGTGTGTGTGTGTGTGTGTGTGTACAGTCTTCTATCCTCTAATGACACAATTGGTGCTTTTGGAATTTTCAATAATAGGCTCTCTAAAGTCTAAGGATCAGTACAAATTACTTGTGTTCATATTTAAACTTTAGCTCCTCCATGGAAAGAATAGAGACTGCAGTTTCCATGAAGCCTAGAAACCCTACAGCCCTTTTTAGCAATAGAAGTACAACAGCCTCTCCATGCTCAATGCATTTTATCAGATACAGGGTGAACAAACTTTGTAGGACCTGTAACCAGTTTCCTAGCGTTGGAAGGGGGCCAGTTGCAGTCACAGAGTAGCTTTGCCTGCTATATCCTAATAATTACTTTAATTTCAGATTCTTTTTACGACCACTATACTCACTTTGAAACAGTTGTGAAGGCTCTTCTGATCAATGCTATCGATGGATCTTTTCTAGAAACCTTGTATGGTAAGTTTATAGTATCACAGGAACATCAGATTCGTATCTTTTGTGGTTTGAAATTAATCAAAAAACAACTAGATAGTATAATATATGAAATAAAATTAGTGTGTACTTCTTGTGAAAATAAAAGAATGCATAGTTGGACAAGAAGAGAAGCTAATGTCCATTTGATAGATGAGAAAGAGAGAGGGGAAAGAAGGGAGACAGATAAAGAGAGAGTGTCTAAGGTAGGGTTTCTATCACTGAGGTAAATCACCATGATCAGAAGCAACTTGTGTAGTAGGAGGAGCAGGCTGTGTCCCATGGCCCAGCTAGCTTAGCCCCGAAATAATTACACAGAAACTGTATTCATTTAAACACTGCCTGGCCCATTAGCTCTAGCCCCTTGTTGGCCAACTCTCACATCTTGATTAACTCATTTCTATTAATCTGTGTTCACCATGAGGTCATAGCTTACAGGCATGAGTCTAACCAGCATCAATCTTGGGCAGGAGAAGCATGGCATCTGCCACACTTCCCTTCTTCCCAGCATTCTGTTCTGTCTACTCCGCCCTCTTAAGGGCTGCCCTATCAAAAGGCCAATGCAGTATCTTTATTCAACCAATGAAAGCAACACACAAACAGAAGAAATCTACACCAACTTAGATTAGAAAGAGTGTGTTTCAGCTCACAACTCTCAGGTCACGCTGTATCACTGAGGGGTCAGGACAGGAACCTGGAGTCAGAAGCTAAAGCAGAGCCAAGGAAGAGTGCTGAGAATTGACTTACTGGCCCTAACTTGTTTAGTCAGCTTTCTTAGTCACTCTGAGACTACTACCTGTCTAGCGGTTGCACTACCTACTATGGACTGGGTCCTCACACATCAGTCACTACGAAATTGTACTACAGATTTGCCTAGGCACATCTTATAAAGGAATCTCAGTTGAGAGTTGCTGTTCCCAGATGTCTCAAGTTGACATCTATCTAGGACAGAATGATAAACAATAATATAACATATATAATATATGCATTGTTATAATATGCATATATGTGTATATATGAAATATATGTATATGTTATAGATATACACATAGATATATATGAAGATTGGACAGATTGGTCAAATAATACAGTAAAGTATCTTTTAAACAAAAACATGAATAAGGTGAATGTATTAGTTTGCTTTATATTTTATATATCAGTATATAAAAAACACTGATCAAAAGCAATTTAAGAAATAAAGATTTATTTGGCTTATGTATACTCGGTCACAGTTCATTGTGGGAAGCCAAAGCAAGAACTTGGAGGCAGGAAGTAAAACAAAGGACACAGAAGAATGCTGCTTACTTGATTCCTTCCTATGACTTGCTTAGCCTGCTTTCTTGTATAATACTGGACTACCTGCCCAGGGGTGGTACTATCTACAGTGAACTAGGCCTTCCCACTTTCATTATTAACCAAAAAATGCTCTACAAATTTACCTATAGTTAGTCTGATGGAAGTATTTCTTCAATTGAGTTTCCCTCTCCTAACATATGGTCTAAGTTTGTGTCAAGTAGACAAACACCAACCAGGACAATTCACCTCTTATCAGTCTGACACACCAACACATTACTATTACACTATAATCCTTCCTTTCTTGTTTATTTACAATATCTCATATTTATATCAATATACAATATAGAATACATTCCAACTTATAAAAGCTCCAGTCTTTACCAATTCAAACACTATTTAAACTATTGTCTTTTCACTTCTTTCTTTTTCTTTTTATTCTTGAGACTGGGTTTCTCTGTGTATCCTTGGCTGGGCTGGAACTTACTCTGTAGACCAGGCTGGCCTTGAACTCAAAGATCCACCTGCTTCTGTCTCTTGAGTGTTGGGATTAAAGGTGTATGCCACCACCACATGACAAGTTCAGTCTTTTTTTTAAACATCAAAAGTTTCTGTTGAAGATTAAAGCCTCTCTGCAACTCAAAAGTCTCTCAACTGTGGACTCTTATAGTCAAAATCAAAAGACAAGTTAAATAGTTTCTTTTTCCAAGACAGAAAAACAAGGGAATATTCACAACCAAATCAAAGCAGAACCCATCAGTGTGAAGCTCAGTGTCAGACTTCCGGACTCATTCCCAGTCTTCTGGGCTTTAGATGGCTTGAACAGCCATCCAAAACACACACAGCTTGTCTCTTAAGCTCAGACTTGTTCTACTTTACACTTGATGTTCTTGGAGGTCCATCTCATAGTATTGTCATCTCCAATATGCTGGGAACTCTGCAGTAACAAGGCTGTACTTTTGCCAATAGCCTCTCCTGGGCTCTCTTGAGGGAGTTTTTATTCTACCACATGGTGCCAAGCCTCAGCAGCTCTCCATGACCCTTCATGCGTTTTATAACTAGTACCACCTGTGTGAGTCTTGCACATTACCAAGTTTGGCTACCCACACAAGGTACTCTTGGCCCCCTTTGGACCACATCTTCTGTGTGCTGACCCTGAGGAAACACTTCCCAGAAGATTACACCTCAGTGATGCTGGTCTCTTCAGACCCAGCTGACCAGTACCACAGATTCTTAATTCAAAGCATTATTCAGATGGCCTCAGTAGAGTCTGTACTTGGACTGAAACTTCACAAACCAGGTCTCCATTTCTACACTGTTCTCAGCCTTCTTATCTTTCAGGTTCCCATAGAACAGCCCATTAAGCTGTGAGTACTCAATGGCTTATGCAGCCCAAAGTTGAAAACATATTCATAACCCTTTCAAAACATGATCAGCTCTGTCACAGAAATACTCTACTTCTTCTATAGTCTGCTTTAGATTGCTATGATAAAATACTAACCAAGGGCAACTTGGGGTAAAGGGTTTATTTGGCTTGTATATACTGGGTCCAAGGTCATTAAGAAAAGCCAAGTTAGGGACCTGGAGGAAGGAACTGAAACAAAGGCTTGGAGGAGTACTGCTTAGTGGCTTGCTTTCCATGGCTTGCTAAGCCTGCTTTCTTATACAACTCACCTTTTATTTAAAGAGGTTTGTGTCAAGTTGACCAAAACCAACTAGAACAGTAATATATACATGTTTTATGCTTAGGGTTACAGTAAAAGTTACGAGCATTCAACAATAACTAGGAAGACCAATGTCATTATAGTGCAATGAGTCAGGAGTAAGGGGGGAAGACTTCAAAAGAGGTAATAGTGGAAGTAAGGACTTTTAATTCATGATATAGTGTTTAAATTTGTAGTGACTGTACAATATGATAAATTTATTAGCTATGTTCATTTGGAAATAAATTTCTGAAGAAAGTAGAAATATGAAGCTTAGCATCATAGGCCATGACAAAATACATATAAATTGAGAATAAAATATTAGTCAAAAAATGACTGTAGTGCACTATGAGGGAATGAGGGGGAAGACAAAGCAGAAAAGGTTTTTTCACTGTGTTGGCGAGAGCTAGCTGCAGAGGTCCTTAAAGCATTGTCAGTAATGCAGTGGTTATGCAAATGCAAATCAGTGCTACAGAAATGTGAGGGGTTCTGTGCAAGCCTTTTCTTGGGGCTCCTTCTGCTATCAGGTGCATATAATTAAAAAATCTGATATTTACAGGAGGCTGTTAGAAGCTCTGCCCCTGTGCGTCTATGAAATGAACTGTTTATTTTATTAATTATTTCCTAATTTAAAATATTTACAACTAGCCAGACATCTTTCTAAAACTCTAACATGTACATAGTGGTCAACTGATTCAGTATTTCAAGTGTTCTATTGTTTTTTGTCATCTGCTCACAGCTGGCAAAAGGAAGAAGTTATATGCAAAAGATATGTTGACGTCTCTTCATTATTTGGATAACCACTTTATTCAACCCCGTCTGGAGAGTTTATTCTCTAGAAGTCGATGGAAAGAGCAATATAAGGTATATGGTTTGCTTTCTAATCTATGGTAAAAGTATGGGGACAGTGGCCCTCTCAAGATTTCAGTATCCATCCAGATGGAGCTATTTTCTGAAGTGTTGACATTCTGCCTTGTTAAATAATAGCATATTTTAATCTCTTCTCAAGTCCTTTATTGTTTTAAATATTCACACTAATGCCTCCAATAATTAAATTGGTTTGAAATAATTTCAGAGCATCTCTAGGAGATTTCCTTATAGTTCTTCAGAGAAGAGAGTCACATAGAAGAGATTTGAAAACACAGTGTTTAACTTAAACTGCTTCTGTATTGGAGCACTTGTCTGAGCACTAATCCATAAATCCACACCTCAGGTCTTCAAGGAGGGCAGTTAGACAGCATATTTTTCAAGCTGTGGATTCTACAAAGCTGCTTCTTTTGAGATGCCTGTTATTCCTTCTACTGTTGTCAGTTTTTTTGTATGTTGTCGTGTGTGGATGAGAGCACATCCCTGCCACAGTCCACTATGGGAAGAGGATAGCCTTCAGCACCGGGTTTTCTCCTTCCACTGTGGATTCCCGGGGTCAAACTCAGATCATCAGGCTTATGTGAAAGCACAGTTTTTACAGGCGCCATCAATTCAGGCCCTCTTAGGGCGTTGTATTTCCATAAGACAGTATGGGAAATATTAACCTCCGTCATGATTGGCATATATATTCTCTAACTTGAGATGTTATAATTCTAGCAATTTGGGGATTTGACTTTTCAACCTAAGAATTATTGGATTCTTTTTGTTACTTTCCAGATTTGTATTTTAGCATCTCTAACAGCAGTGGATGTAATGTGTGATATGTAAAGGTACCCCTACTGCTCACATCCTATTTTCTATGGTTAATAAGAGGACAGAAATGATAGATAATAAGCATCCAAACTCCTTAAAATCTCCCTAGCACGTAAATCAATTTCTATGCTCATTTACTGCAGAAACTTAGTTTCATCAAAAACTCTTTAGCCTGAAGTAACCCTGGTGATAGTAAATGGTTACGTTTGAGGGACAGTCATAGACTTGCAAATTATAAGATTTCAAGTTTAAGGATAGCTTGAATTTAGAATCACCATGAATATCTTAATATTTGTAGATTTTTATATACCTCTGAATTCCCGGTTTATTCATCAGATGTAAAAAAAATACTCATCTACTTTTAAGTAAAATAGGTACTTATTTATTTAGGTAAAATACACAAAATAACTGTTATAATATTATTTTCTTTAATACAAAGAAAAATGTTACAATTTTAAAGACTAGCCTTTGACATATGATTTACATGTGAAATATGTTTTCTTAATCATAAAGTAAGTCCAAAAGCAAGGAACTTTTCTCTCCTCTATTTTACACCGAGGGAAGTGTAGTCAGAGGAAGCAGTGTTCCACAGCTAGTAATTTCACAGGACAGTATGCTTTGCCACACTGCCAGGATATGGTGGATTTAGAAACCCCATAATGAAATAACAACAAGATGCACAGAATTATGAGACAGACGATTGAGTAAGGTCTTAGGGCACACTGCGTTATACTGAAGAAAAGTCACAGGTTTGACCCAGAAAGATGTGTATGTCACTTCCATGTGGAGTGCATTCTGTTCACACCAGTCCCTCAGAAAACAAAGCTGTTTGAGCTTTCATCTCGCTGTGCTGCCAGAGCAAAGAGGGCTGCTCTCGAGCTAGGTCTTCAGTGACATGCTTTGAGGTAAATCAGAGCAATGTTGCAGGTCACAGAGTACGAAAAGGATCAGTGTACCTTCTGGTACCTTGGCTATAAAAAAAAAAAAAACAGACAAGAGAAAACAGTTTTGTCTATCTCTTTACTTACAAATTACTAGTAAGTAGTGTTCCCAATCAGCTTTAACTTATGTTTCCCCGGTCTTTGAAAAAAGCTACATTCATTCTACAGAACAGCAAAGGTACCTTCTGGTGTAGGGGATGAACGGGGAATAGTAAGCATGCTACAGTGTTCTTAGTGTGTTCATTCAAGTGCGGTATCAAAACACACTGCTAATAGAACAGGGCTATCTAGCACAGTCACTCAGGTACAGTAACGTCATCACTAATACAGTTGGTTATGCAGACCAGGGGTTCTCACATTGTTTATTCATTGATAATCCAGCCACTAGATGGTCCGTCAGTTCTGGACATGGAATTATTAATTACTTATTAATTGCAAGGTGATTAATTTGACAAGACAAAGCAGGTGACTACAGGAGGATTAAGTTATTTCCAGAATGTTTTCAGGAAGATATGATTTGACTCATGTACTGTAGAATGAATGCAGTTTTTTTCCAAATTCTTACTAGCTTTAATGAATTCATCTCAATTTCTATTGCTTATGTTCCTACTTTACTTAATATCTCATTGGTGCCGATTATAGATGAGACTGGGGAAACGTAAGTTAAAGCTGATTGGGAACACTACTTACTAGTAATTTGTAAGTAAAGAGATAGACAAAACTGTTTTCTCTTGTCTGTTTTTTATAGCCAAGATTAATAATTCATTTTTCAATTTAAAAATACCTTCTTAAAGTAAGAAATTGTATGTTTTATTCTTATATTTCTTCCCACTGGTTTCCAAAATATGTTATAATCTGGATATATTCCTGTATGAATTAGTCTTTGGTATTTCTAACTGTTGTCAGGAGCGAGTTGAAAGCTACTCTAACTTACAAATCCACACGAAGAACCCTGAGAACTGCTCCTGCCAGGCTTGTGGCCTGCATCGCTACTGTAAATTCTCAGTGCACCTCTCGGGAAACTTGTACAACAACAAGACAATGGAGACAGATGACTTCATGTCCCACGACAAGCAGGTATCATTTCATGATTTCTGCCTTTGATATTTAGAACATTTAGGCTTCATACCATGTCCTCTAGGTTGTTCTCACAAACAGAGAAACCACTACAAAGAAAAGAATACAAGGAAGGAGGTACATTAGATTTTCTTTCTTCCTATTAGTATGCCTCCCTCTAGTGACTCTGTGTATCTTAAGAGGATAGAGACCTAAAGTTGTTGCTAAATCTTCCACTTTTTGTTTTGTTTTGTTTTAAATATTGGATTTTTCTGTAGCTTTGGACCCTGTCCTGAAACTAGCTTTTGTAGACTAGGCTGGCCTCAAGCTCATAGAGATCCACCTGCCTCTGCTTCCAGAGTGCTGGGATTAAAGGTGTGCACCACCACTGTCCTGCTCTTCAGTAATTTATTTTGAAAAATGAACTCATTATTTTCTAATTAACTTGCAAATAAACATATCACAAGACTAGTTTAAGAAAACCACTAAAACACTTTTTTTTGTTTGGGGATATAATTTAATACTTTCCATAAAAAATGGAAGTCAAGGTTTATCACTTTAATTTACTAAAGTTATTTTCTAGACTATTGATCCACTGTGTCAGTACATGCAAATAAAGGAAAAACAAATGTGCTTACATTCCAGGACTTAAAGAATCTGTGAATACCCCCACCCACCACCTACCTTGTCTGAACACCACAGTCTCTGCTTCGTGATTGTGCATAAAGCTGAAAGCCTAGCACTAACCAGTTTCTTCTTGAGAGTGTGGTTAAACAGTGATGTTTGTTGATAATTTTCTTTTGCCTGACTTACAAAGATTAGCTTATTTGAAAGAAAGGATATGTGTTGATGGAAGATGGTGTTACCACCTTCACAAAGTGAAGTGGGTAGTTAAGTTACAGCAATGTTACATTGGGGAATAAAGCAAGTCTTATCAAACTCAGGAAATGAAAGAAACTTAATGCTCACAAGACCACTTCCCCAAGCTATATAAGCAGAAACAGTTGCAGAGGGGGAGGAAAGGGCAGTGGCGTGATGGATTGGTGGTTGAGTTGACTGCACACTGTGCAGGGAGCTCCAGGAATGCAGTTCTTGTGAGGGAACTGTCACCTGTGCTGGGGTGGGCTTCTCTATTTTGCGCTATTTTTGCTCCATCCATGCTCCTGTAATCCAGTAAACTTGGTGAACCACTAAGTTGAACTTAGGCAGAATGGTTTCTTGGTCTGTTTTTGAATGCCATGTCTGGGGTGAATAATGCTTGTTCATGTCTCTCCAGAAGAAGCTACAGGCCAGGCATGGTGACACAAACCTTTAATTTCAACACTCTGGAGGCAGGGGCAGGTGAATTTCTGAGTTTGAATTTGAGGCTGGCCTGGACTACACAGTGAGTTCCAGAATAGCCAGAGCTTCACAGAGAAAACCTGTCTCAAAAAAAAAAAAAAGCAAACAATAAACAAAAGTCATAGGACATGGTGAAATGTCCAGAGTGCTTCACTGCACCATGCATCAAATGTACCTGCTGTCCGCTCGTCATTATATAACTTGAAGTCTTGGTTGGCAACATATTCCTGGCCTTACCTTCACAGCATCTCATCTCTGTTTTCCTGTGCACTGTGGCTTCAGACAGAAGCCCCCCATAGGTGACTGTTAAAAATTATATAGGTAAACTTGTAAACTTGAGCCTAGAGCCAAATGCTCAAGTTAGGACATTCGTGCCTTCAGGTTTTTATATAATATGATCATGTTATAATGTTTGGAGCGTGTTTTGGAGAATTTTCTACAAAAAGTGAAAATAGTGTAAAATAAGATCTACTTATCAGTCGGATGATTTTGGCTTTCTATTTTAGCTGTATAACAGACCATAACCATCAAAACATGAAAGAGAGGTGGTCTGGTTGACCGATTGCACAAACATGCATCATAGAGTGCTAGAAGTCCATATATAATGAAAGCAGACAATAAAATACTAATCTAGCTTACTTACATGAGACTCATGAAGTAAAGCCAAATGTACACACACAGATAACATCTTCACTTTACTTTTGGGGATTGTTTAGGAAACGACTAACAATGCTTAACTTTGGTCTAAGAGTGCTGCATTTTTAGTTGTTGCTTAGACTTACGATTTACCACATTCTGGGCATTTTAAACACAGAAAGTGTGTGCATGCCATGCTCTGCATGCCTTCTCCTGATTTTTGCGTGTGTGTTTGTCTTTCTGCCTTAAAGGCAATTTCTCTCTAGCTCTCTTTGCAAATTTAGAAATTGTTTTCAGAACTACAGGAGGCTAGGGTTCATCTAGTAGATGACAAGCATGAGGACACTCAAGCCCAGCACCCACTAAACAAAAAAACAAACAAATTCAAACTCTGGAATACTTTGCCTATTTGGAAAGCTCCAAGCCAGTGAGAAATGCTGCCTCAAAGAATGACACCTGAGATTGCCCTCTGGCCTTCATATACACATGCGCACACATACAGAGAAACATGGACTGACATCTTGGTAGCTTCCTGAGCACAATGTTTGGCATAGTATTTTATAATCATCTTTGTTCCAAGGCACTAAACTCCCTAACACAGGTGCTACGTCCTCACTTAGCCTCTAGCCCCTGCCCAAATCTAGGAGCAGAGTAGGGTACAGTTTCTGTTGACTGCTTGTATAGATAAGATAAAGGAACCACTTATATGAATATTTAAATAAAATTAAAAGTACATGTTTTGGGTTCTACCATTAAAAAGAAATCTGAAAATTAGAAGTGCTATGTGTAAATTTATTTACTCCATATTTGAGATAATGATATTTATTTCTTAATGTAGGTGTTTATTGTTGGCAGAATTTGTGCTAATCGCACCAAAATTTATCATAAACTAAAGCATTTTAAATTCAAACTGTACCAAGAATGTTGCTCCCTTGCAAAAGAAAAAGAAGAAGAATGTGCAGATGAACAGGTTAAAGAAACAGTAGGAAGAATCTTCAGTCAGTCAAAAGAAAATGGCTGGATTAAACAGGTAAGACTATAGACCTCCTCATTCTGTAGAATCTGGAGGCTGAGGATGGCAGCAAAAGATGACATTTGTAGACATTGATACTTAAGAAAATCCCTTATGTACTCTTATGCCTCCTCTCCTCCTGCCTATTCCATCATGTTTATCATTATTCTATTGTGAATAGACGCCCTGATGTTCCAAGAATTCACTCACCTCATATAGATTTTACTGAACAATAATTCTGTACCTTAGCAAAAGGTCTCTCATCTCTCATCTTTCTCTTTTACATATGTAACCCTTACTTACATGGTAAGTCACTTTTCCTATTGCTGTGATAAAATACCATGACAGAAGTGTCTTACGAGAAATGCAGATGTTTTGGCTTACAGGTGTGTGAGGAAGTCTTATGGCAGGACCTTGTGGCAGCTGGTCCTGTTTCAAAGTCAAGAAACAAAGAGATTAATTGTTCTGCCCAGCAAGCTTTCTCTTTATGCAGTCTAGGACCCAAGCCTATGGAATAGCGCCATATGCTTTTAAGGTAGATCTTTCTACCTTAATTCACCTAATGTAGATAATCCCTCAAAGCCATGCCCAGAGATTTGTGTCCTGGGTAATTCTGGATACTGTCAAACTGGGAATCAATATTAAACATTATATTCTAGGGTGAATTTTGGGGGGAGGGCAGGGAGCAGGGTATAGGACTGACCTTTGCTAGTCTGCATTCCTTCTTTTGAACAGTCCTTGTGATGTAAGAGTGCCAGCTGAGGAAGAGAAGAGGTCCACCTCACAATTCTATACAGCCACATGCTCTTCTTGAGGACCTGGGCTGAGTAGTTGGCACTCTTACTAAAGATGGGAGAACATTCTGAGGCTTCAGACTGTGGAACTTACTGGATTCCCCTGTACCTTGACAGTCCCTGAATTTGATTTCAGGGATAGAGTGGGAGTTCTAAGTAGTGCAGGTGAGAAGCGCTGTATTGCTCATAGAGTCCTTAGAAGTCTTCTGTGGAAAGAATGTTCATGATAGCAGTTCCCTAAAACAGGGTTAGCCTGTGGACACCCGAACAACTAGAAATTATTCAGGAAATTTGGGTCAATGACATATTTCATCCTGAAAAGAAGCAGAAAAGAGTCGTACTTGATATCTTTGGCCTGGGTTATATAATAGGGAAATCTGTAAAAGACCAAAAGTGCGGCAGATAAACTTCTGAGCAAAGAGATGGGGAAGCAACACAGGCCCTGCTCAGCGCTGTCACGTTCATTAAAAGAGTCCTATGGAGAAGGACTGACTTTCCCTTGGATAGTTACCTCCGACCTCAATCCACCACCCAGGGACCTGGCCTGTCCCTTTCTTCTCTCTCCCCTTTTACTGTCTCCAGAATCTCCTCTCACCACTTCTAGGTTTTCCACTGGCTTTTTGGGAAGACCTAGCTAATAACCCTGTCTTCATTTTCTGAGACATTGAACTTTCTAAGTTCTTTTATGATATTTTTCAGAGACACCAACTCAGTAGTGCAACTAGAAAGTCTGTTGGTATACCTCACTTATAAATATGCCCGCTTCCCCCTTTGTGGTACCAGAGAGTTAATCCAGTGCTTTGTGGATGCTAAGAAGCTGTAACTGCAATGTTGTGTATGTTGTATGGGTATTATAAATAATAATTACACATATTTATATGTGGAGAATTTTCAACTTCTTTCAGCAAAACCAACAAATATTTCATGTATTTTAGAAGAAGCGTAACAAAGTTTAGGGCCGTCGATGGAATATGAAACAAAAACATTCTTAAGGAAAGAAAGTGAAATTATATTCTCTGCCTTAGGTTTCCATTGCTGTGATAAACACCATAACCAGGGTCTGTTTCAGCTTACAGCTCTCAGGTCACACTCTGTCACCAAAGGGGTCAGAACTGGAACCTGAAGGAAGGAACTAAAGCAGAGGCTATGAAGTAACACTCCTTACTGGCTTGCTCTCTTTCTACCATGCAGGAACTCCTGCCCAGGGCTAACACCACTGTCAGTGAGCTAAGTCCATCCACATCAATCTCAATCATTAACCAAGGAAATTCTCTAAAGACTTGCTTATAGGCAAATCTCAGAGAAACATTTTCTCAACTGAGAGTCCCTTCCCCCAAGTGACATAAAACTAACCAGCAGAATCAATCACTTGCCAACTTGACACACAAATACATAACTATTAAAACAAAAACTTTTCTTTCCTTTTTGCCCTAAGATGGCATGTTAATATTAGTATCACAATATAAAACATTCTAACTTTTAAGAATGGCACAGTCTTTAAAGACTCAAACACTAAAAATTTATTTGTTCTAAAATATCAAAGGTTCTTTTTAAATTCCAGTCTCTTAACAATAGGCTCCTGAAAAATCAAAAGATAAGTTAAATATTTTCTTTAAGAGAGAAGAATCAGGGTATATTCACGACCAAATTAAAGCAAAACAAAAGTTTGTCATTGTGAAGCTCAGTGTCAGACTTCCAGGACTCATTCACATTCTTCTGGGCTCCAGATGGCTTGACCAGCCATCCACAACACACACAGCTTGTCTCCTAGTCTCAGGCCAGCTCTACTCTACACTTGATGCTCTCCTTGGTGGTCCATGCCATGGTGTTGTCATCTCCAATATGATGGGACCTCTGCAATAACAGGGATATGCCCTTACCAATAACCTCTCATAGGCTCTCTTCAGGAACTATTTACTACCACATGGTGTCAAGCCTCAGCAGCTCTCTGTTGGCGGAGGCTGTTCATTCCTGGCTGCCCAGAAACTATATTATTTGCAGTACTGTTTGGCCAATCACTTAAGCGTATCGCTAGCTAGCTCTTACGTCTTTGGTTAACCCATTTCTATTAATCTATGTATCGCCACATGGCTGCGACTTAACTGGCAAAGTTTCAGCGGGCTCTAACAGAGGTGTCTGTCTCTGGCGGTGGCTACATGGCTACTCTTTGACTCTGCCTACTCTCCATATATATAGAGAGCCTGGCTCTATATATAGAAATATATATAGAAATAGAAATATATATATTTCTAGCCTGGCTACATTCTGTTGAGCTATTGGCCAAAAGTAGCTTCTTTATTAACCAATAAAAGCAACACATATACAGAAGGATTTCCCACACCAGCTCTCCATCCTCTCCTTCAATCCTGGGGTTTCTATTGCAGCTGAGGCTGAAGCTTCACCAGTGGCTTCTCCCGGTCTTTCACAGTGCAAAGCCTCAGCTGTGTTCCACGACCCCTTCAGGTCTTCCAAACCAGTACCACCTGTGTGACTATCTCACATTATCAAGTTTGGCTACCAGCAAAAGGTACACCCTTGGTCCATCTGGACCAATCTTCTGTGTGCTGACCCTCAGTAAACACTTCTAGAAGATTGCACCTCAGTGATACAATCACAGTTCTTCAACCAAGGTGACCAGTATCTCATCCCAGCAAGCAAAGATTTTACTTCAGTAGATCTGAGCTCATGATAATCACAACTGATTCTCAGCCCCAACTGACGAGAACCACAGATTCTTAATTCAGAGTATCTAATGGCCCTGTTATAGTCTTAAGGGTCTTGAATCCTCCCAACCCAGGCCTTCATCATCTGTGCTGCTCTCAGCATTATTCCAACTTCCTACACAGCAGCGCACTGATCCCTGAACAGTCAACAGCCTAGAGTTCTAATGTCAGCACAGTCTGCCCAGAAACACAACGTCAGGTCTGTCAACCAAATTCCCCATTCCTCAACCTAATTTCTGTCTTACACTGATTTCTATTACTGTGATGAACACTATGACCTAAAGCAACTTGGGGAGGAAAGAGTTTAGCTCATCTCACAACTCTCAGGTGACAGTCCATCACTGAGAAGGAACTTGAGACAGAAATTGATGCAGAGGCCATAGAGGAACACTGATAACTGGCTTACTCTTCTTGACTTACCTAACCTGCTTTATTTTACCATCCAGGACCACCTCCCCAGAGGTGAACTGGGCCCTTCACATCAATCACTAATCAGAAACCAGTGCACTACAGAATTGCCCACAAACAGATTGTATGGGGATATTTTCTCAATTGGGTATTCCTGTTCTTAGATGACTCTTGCTTCTGCGAAGGTGACATAAAACCAACCTGCACTTTCTCCCTTAAGTGAAACATTTAGCATTAGATGTTAAAAGAATAAGGCATAAACTTAGGACAAGGGAGCAGTTTCCCCCCACATAAAAGCAGCAAAGAACTTTATTGTGTTGCACGGGGGACCTTTTTAAAAGATTTTAACTTAACAATAGTTGTATAAAGATTTTTTTCAAAAGATTCCCTAGAAACCAGAAAGCTTATATCCATTAAATACATACATTGCTCTTTGTGTTGTGATAAAATTTCAGAATTTGTCAAATGTTCTGATGTTTCTCAGTCTTGCTGTCCCATTGAGTGAGACAACACTGTGTGGTTGTGGAGGCATGCATTTTTTTTTTTTTGGCTGCAGTTGTCATGGCTCCACGTTTATTCTTCCTGTTTACAGTGCCTGGGTCTGCACTAATAGGATGTCCATCTCAGTGACTCTGGGTGTTCCTGTTTCCCATCCAAATATGTGAGCTTCATATTCAGTGAGAGACTTTGTCTTGAAAGATAGAGAGCAACTAAGAAAGATACCCATGTTGACCTCTGGCATAAACACATGCACACGCATACCTGAACACATACATAAAAGAAGTATCAAATCTTTTTATAGCTATATTTAAAATAATTTACAATGTACTACATAAATAAGAATTTCAAATTATAATGAGATATTTGCCTTACTTGAGTCTTCTCTTATCACCCTCTCCTTTAACATTTTATCCTTTTCCTTTTCTTCTGCACCTTAAGTTGGTAGTTCTCAAAATACTACTTTTAACTACCTATGTCAAAGTCACCTAGAAATTTGTGGGAAAATACAGAATTACGGGCCCTACTTAGAACAATTGAATGAAACTCTTCATGGGCATTAAACATCTAACCTTTAAAAATACTGACTTATTCTTAAATAAATTAAAGATGGAGGGCCACAGTCTAAATTTCCTGTTGAGCTGGATTCTATCCTCAGGCTCTAAAGATCCCTCTGCACATCTTTTCCTCTCTGTGGGTCTCATTTACTTCTCTTAGAATTTGACTACTTTCCTCTACCCCATTTCCACAAGCCAGAATGACTATCTGGTACTGCATGAGAGTGCTCTTCATTATTAGAGTAAGGCCTAGACTCCCAAAGGCTCGGCGATGAGCTACAGAAGCTGCTGTTGGGGCAGAGGGGAAGGCAGAGTGGTCCTAATGACCTTTCCTCTCTTTCACTTTCCCTTTTGTGGTTTTCATTTTTCCCTCAAAACAGCTGTTGCCCCACCCTTAGCATTTAAAACTCAAAACCAGCATCCTATAAAGGTTAAAAGCATGCATTTAAATATTTGCCCTGCCACTGCCTAACAGTAGAACATGAAAGCAAGTTACTTAATCTCTCAAGTCTGATTCTCCTCTGTAAAATAGGAACGAAGCAATAATTAGGGCTTAGATCATGTAAATGATGGCATATTTAGAGCCCGGAATTAGAAAGTGATCAACTACCATTAGCTGTTATTTGTAATATAAGCAAGCAAAGATTATTATTTGTTTTGTTCTCTTAGCATGCTAAGATATATTTTAATTTTCCAAAACAAATTTTTATAAATAATTAAGTAAAACAATATAAAGATAAAATTATAAGCCTAAAACAGCCATATTTTAAGGTACAAGTTTAAGATCATAAAGAATTTTACTTCCATTTACTTCCATGTACTAAAACCAAGCATTTAATGGCCTGTGATAGCAGATCATTGTACTGTCCTGTTCTTTTCTTCCTTCTTTCCTGAGGATGTGCTGCAGTCAGTGATCTTGAAGTTGTGAAAATGGGCTTCATGGCCTTGACTAGGATAAAAATGCAGTATTCGCATTGCCTCCCATGAATCCTTGTCATTGTAGAATTCAGGCCTTGAGGTCTTCCCTCAGAGTTAATAAGCCAAGTTAGAAAACCACTAAATAATTCAGTATCCTCAACTGATATAAATACCTGAACTCTGTCTGAATGTGAACTCATGTATCTTCTCTATTCCTTGTCTGCCTGAGATAGCCCTGCCTCCCATCGTTCTTGTCCTCCTTCACCTGGGAATTTCCAGGGCCCCTTAGCCCATCTCCTGACATGTTCCACTCTGTCCTTTACCCTCTGCTTCCATTGTTGCCCCACAGGTTTGAGTCCTCATTGCCTAGTTTGTCACCACAGAGTCATAACTCATTGCCAGACAGTTATCAAATAGCTCACTCGCTTTCAAATGAGGTCAGTCCTCTCCCACTGCATCTCTGGCAGCACCGCATTAGCTGTCAAATCTTTGCTCAGCCTATAGCCTAGTATTTTCATAGTTTTTATTCTCTGACCTCAGTCTTCTTCAGTCCTCTCTCTATAAGACGGCGTCAGATTACTATACAGTCCTACGCGCCCTTGTCATGGTAGTGCTGGATGAACTGCTAATCTCCTGGGCTGGGGAGCGGAAACTTCCACCACTAACTTTTTGCCTATCAAGTATTTTTGTCCAGAGCAACTTAAATGTTGCACTTTCCTTGTCCCCTAAACTACCCATGGTTTCTCTTCTGAGCCCTCATAGCAATGGTGCTGGCTGACATGATGTCTTGTCTTAGGGATGGGGAAAGTGCTTTGTAGAGCTCTGCCCACAACAATCATTGCAGGAAACTGTTTGCATACATGCACATGTTACATAAGTATGTGTTGGATTAGTTATTGAATTATTCTGCTGTGATTTACAATTATAACTTAGATATGAAATTAATAACACTATTATTTTATTTCATTGCAATGCTTTCTGAGTTAGAAATGCTTATGTGAAATAGAGCTTCTATTAAGTAATTTTTGTTCCCACTTTTCTTTAGACCTGTGTCTTAGTAGTTAGAAAGGTCTGTCTTACTGGTTGTTGTGAGTAAAATGACAAATTTTCTGTTGTATATGCAGAGATATGATGAACTGCAAGAATATCTCAATTCTGCGGATCTTTTTCAAGATGAGAAGTTTGAATTGTAGCATGTTTCCTTCAGAGAAGATTTTTATAAGTTTCCTTAAATGCGAAGATCATGAGTATTGTTTCTCTGTATCATGTGACATTTGTTGTATAATCTGTGTGTATTTTATGGCAAAATATCTTGTTTATATACTCATCTGATTTTTATGAAATGCCACAGTGAATTTCAATAAAGCCTTCATAGATGTCCATGGAGAACATCAACTTTGTGGTTCAAAAATCGATCAGTGTATTTTAGTGATGTATCGATGCTTTTCTCATGCATGATCTGCAGTTGAGTGTGCTATCATGTCCTGTCAGATTAGTAGAAATAGGCTCTATGAAAATATCTTTGGACTGACTTGGACATGGCTCAGTCAGTATAGTAATCGCCTTACAAGCACAAGGACCTGAGTGCAGTCCCCAGAACCATATTTCAAATAAAAGCCGGTCACAGTGGCATGTACTTGTAATGCTTGCACTGGGGAGGCAAAGACGAGGCCAATCTTTAAGGCTTGAGAGCCAGGCAGCCAACCTACTCTCATGCCAGTCAGAGACCCTGCCACAAAAGACAAGATGGCTCGTGCTTGTCAATGAACCCCAGGCTGTCCTCTGGGCTCAGCATGCATGCAGATATCTATGTGCATGTGCCCACACATGTGTGCAACCACACACAAGCACCTTCACACTCACACTATATATGCATGTGTATATACACAAATAGTGAGACTCATGCCTATATGTACTTATTGTTGCACCCCTTGGCAGTATTAAATAATCTTCAATAATAAATTTCTAATTAACGTCTCCTCAATCAGTGAGCCATGGAAGAAGCCTCAGACTCCTAACCTCGGAATGAGACCATAGTTTATGTGCTACGGGGAGGAGTGCTTTTTTTTGTAAAGTTTCCCTTAGGAATAGATGTCTCATCCTCAGAGTCTTTCAGTCCTCACATTCAAGAACATCTTGATACATGTTTTCATTCTGTGAGATGCTCTTTGTTGTTTCTGTACAGTTTTATCTGCAATATATTAATGATGGAGATAGATTTTGTGATTTTTTAGCAATAACATTATATAATGTATATATATTGTACCAGTCTGAAAATCTCAGAGAAAAGTTAAGCCAAAAAAAACCCCACTTCAAATGCTTATTTTACTGCCTACATTACTTTGCACATCCTAATTTTTTCCATAATATAATAAAGTGGTTTCAGAGTAAGCTGTGTATTGGTTTTTTTTTTTTTTTATTCTTAAAGATAAGACCCATTCTTCTGTGGCTTTTTGTTTGCTTTTTTCATACTGAAAGTTTGGTTGATCTTAGCTAGTTTCATCTATTGTATGATTCATGACATGCCTCCATGTATATATTGCATAAAATTACCAAGAATTACATGGAGATGAGTTTTTATTTTCTGAAGTATATTTCTATAATTACTCTTATTGGTCTGTTAAGGTAGTAAGTAAAAAAAAATGCAGGGAGTACAAGGAGGCTGAGGCTGATACAGGAAGTACAGGGATACTGAGGCTGATACAGGAAGTACAAGGATACTGAGGCTGATACAGGAAGTATAGGGATGCTGAGGCTGATACAGGAAGTACAGGGACACTGAGGCTGATGCAGGAAGTACAGGGACGCTGAGGCTGATACAGGAAGTATAAGGATGCTGAGACTCATGTCGATGAGTGAAAAACAGTTTTCTGGGGTGAAACAGACATTTCCATCACATGTCCACTACTGTTTGTATTTCTCTGGCACATGGAGAATTACTACTTAACTCACTTCCAGAGAACAAAAATAAAGTCATACTTGAAAGTGCAATGTCAAAAGGAAGCAGAGAAGAATCCAAGGAAAACTGATAGAGTATGGCAAGGGGTCAAGGTCATGGGTGACTTGTGTACAGGAAGAAAGAGGAAAAAGAAAGACGATGATGACCTGGAAAGAATCACTTCTTCATGTGACAAGTTTGAATCTCCTGGAAAGAGAGACAGTTTAAAGTTTGTATTATTTTCATAGCACTCAACCACTTATAAAGTAAAAGGACTAACAGTAGTGGTCACTTATGGTAGGAGGCAACCTAGTTCCTAGGTTGGTCATATTGCTGATTTGAAGCACTTTCCCAAATACAACAACATATTATGATCAAAATGCTTGCAGGTGGTTTTTCTGGCATGTGAGGCCATTGCAACTAAATGTACTCCTCCAAGAAGTGACTGGAGCCTCTAAGAGTCTATTGGGTATCTGCTAACAGCAAAAGAACTGACAAAATAGATGTTTAGTGAGACCTAGTATGGATTAAGGGGACAAAATCAAACAAACTCTAGGAATAGTGTGGGAAATAATAGAATTAACTTTTCTTTTCTTTTTAAATATTTATTTATTTATTATGAATACAACATTCTGTTTGCATATATGCCTGCTAGAAGAGGACACCAGACCTCACTACAGATGGTTGTGAGCCACCATGTGGTTGCTTGGAATCGAACTCGGGTCCTTTGGAAGAGCACGCAATGCTCTTAACCGCTGAGCCATCTCTCCAGCCCCCTAGAATTAACTTTTCTTATATTATGACATTGTATTTTTATTACTATTATCAGTATTAATTCAATAACATGACAGTTTTGAGCTTCTAAGTCTTAGGTCCTCTCACATGACTGAACCTTTTGATTAGGAGCACTTATCACCATAGTCTTAGTGGCTTTAGTGTTTGGTGGCTTTAGATAGTAAAGATGTTGAGAAAAAGGCAAAATAATAAATGCTCAAAAGAATTCAGAAGACTAGACATAGGCTTTAGGGGGATGAGGAAACAAACAAGAAGACAGAGAGAATGAAGGGGCTGGAAGAAATAATTCTTTCATAAGCAGTTGGTGTAATTAACTGAATTTCCTGACTGGTGTGTTCTCATATTCAGGCATGTGTACCCATCATTCATTCTTTGGGTAATATAGGACCTGCCTGGATTCCAAAGTGGACAAGGGGAGTAGTGCATCCCTTGAGCTAGACCTGCTTGTAATGTCACTAAAACTCGCTACTAAAGTGGCAAGTGCTGTTGTTAAAAGAACCTGGGTCTAAAGAGTCCTGGTCTAACATCCTGAATTATTGATGTGGAACAAATCATTATGATAAGTCTTCCATCCTCTTCTAAGTGAGGAACTGAATGAAGCGAATAATATGTATCTCCAAAAATGTTCGTGTATTGAAATGATATATGCGAAGTGTGGACGTTAGATGTGATTTCTCTTAAATAAGAAGAAATGATGTGCATAAGAAGAAGAATGTCAGTGATAAATGGACACCAGAGATTAAATATCTAGATGTATGGAAGTAAATACGTATAAAAGGGGACTGAAGAGTTGGTTCAGCAGTTCACAACACTGACTGCTCTTGTAGAGTACCTCAGTCCAGTTCCCAGCACCCACGTGGTGGCTCACACCTATCTGTAACTCCAGTTCCAGGGGATCTAGCGCCCTCTTCTGTACTAAGCAGTAAAGCACTGCACAATGTGGTAAACATACATTCAGGCAGGCAAAACATTGAAGTTTTTTTTTTTTAATGTATAAAAAAGATACTCTAGACTCTAGAGTCCAGAGGAGTGGCCTAAATACTGGAATGTTGAAGTCTTCCTTACCAAGCTTTTAATTGATGTTCCTGTCAGAATTACAAAGGGGTGGTGGTTGTAGAGATGGCTCAGCAGCTAAAGGCACTTGCAATGCGAGTTTATTACCTGAGTTCAATCCCTCAGGTAAAGGGGAAAGGATAGAACTTGACTCTGCAAAGCTGTCCTCAGACCACATGTACAACTGCACTCAGATATCACAAAAGAAAAAATCCAGAAGGCAGAGGTTATTACACAGTGTATACATGATTGAAACAACACACAATACCCTAAAACTATGGACAATTTTATATCAATTATTTTTATCTCAATTTGGCAAATTTATCATTCTGATTTATAATTTATATTACTTGGAGTAGCTTATTTGGCCAAAGGTATCACGCTGTTAAAACCTATATTATCATGGGCTATTGCATGAGTGTTTTTAGTTTAAATGCTACATAGTTTTCTTTTATTGGTTATGACTGCTAAATATAGCATTTTAGAGGTAGAAGTTAGTAGAAGACGTTGTCTCCTGAACACTCTTTTTAAAAATGATATATTCAAGGTTCAAAAACCCTCCACTTTTTATGATAGTTTCCTAATTTCCATCTCTAATGAATATAGTTTCTCATTTCTCCTTGTGAGTGGAGAAGAGTTGGCCTTGAAGAAGACAGGGAGAAGTATTATGTCCCCAAGAAAAGCCAGAGGTTTTATAGACTGAAAGTCATTGAATCAAACCCAACCTAGAATACTGTAGAAGGGAATTATTTAAACAGAGATAATATGATGGATTTTAAGAACTTCTGGGATTAGAGATACATTCAACTTGTCTAAGTCAATATCCCCAAATCAAAGAATCAAAGAAGAAGAAGAAAAAAAAAACCCTGAAATCTGTGGATCCCAAGCATTTCAGATATGCCCTACCCAGTCTTGTCACTGTGCCTGTCTACCTACATGTCCAACTTAACATCCCTGAATCTGTGAAAATAAAGTGGGCTGCAGTCGGCCAGCCTGTGAGGGATGGCACTGTGTGTAAAGTCATTCTCGCGAGCATTAATTCACTTCCGCCCATAGCTCACGTTGGAAGCATGATCATACTTCTGAGATTCCAGAGTCTGTAAAGTGACTCCACCTCGTGTCCTGAGACCTCAGCTCCCAAAGACTTGTGAATTACCGCACTTGTGCTTCTGTTGGTCCTGACTGCAGTACCATGCCCACGTTAGTTTATTCTCTGGAATGGATAAGCGCACACAGAGTTGTCCAAGCTTCTCGGATATTTTACGAACCACACCATCGGAACATAAGGAACCACAAAACCTTGTTTTGTTATGAATGCTCTTGAAATCATGTGGCCCTTTATACGTGCCAACACGACAGCTATGGACAACACACCTTGTATTCGGTGATTTTCAAAGAAAAAGATCTCTCTTTTCTTTCTTTCCGGAGGTATTGGCAGTATCAGTCTCACCCGACGTTTATTTATCTCTGCTGGTTTGTTCTTCACCTCCCAGCCCATTGCCCAAACTCACTGGCCCATACCAGTGGGTCTCTTTAGGAGTCAGCCGAGGACTCCCCTCCCTCTATCTCCTAACACTCACTCGCCAACTTCCTCACTGTGGTAATAAGCTTTTCCTCCGTGCTCACCCAGCTCTTGCTGAGGTGCACAGTGGTGTCGTTCACAGCTTATTGAAAACCGAAAATCATATCCTCAGGGGGGCGGGCTGCGGGCCTGGAAGGGGAAAAATACACTCCCTGGCTGGGAATTTTCTTCAGCATTGAGGGCTGCTCAAACCCTTGCGAGGAGACTGGGGAATTTCCCCCGTCTTCCCCCCACCGCAGCACCCAGGCTGAGGCTGAGCTGTAGAGAGAGGTGCAGTTCTGGAGGGTTTGCCTCTTCAGCCGCTGGGAGGCCTCTGCACTCCGTTCCCCGGCGCCTGGCTGCGATTACTCACTGGAGCAGCGGCACCAGCCTTCCACCAGGGAGCCCGAGCTCCCGCCCTCCTCCCCCATCTGCAGCCTGCTGGCTCCCTCTCTCCCTCTGTCTCACTCTCTCTCTCTCCCTTTCTCTCCCTCTCCTATCGCAGCACAATGAAAGCCTGTGTTTCGTCGTGAGTCCGAGGAGCGGGAGCCGGTGTCAGAAAAGCGCTCGGAACAGACCTGAAAGAGAAAGGAAAATACCAGCTACTTTTTTCTTCTCCCCCCCCCCCCCCATCTATAAAGCAAAGCATTACAAGAGATAGAGCCACATTGCCTATGGGAGTCCAGACCCTGTGAGCCACTGGCCGGGAAAGGAATGTACGAAAGTGGACAGAAAAGTGGCTGGATATGACTCGGTGCAATTTGCTGGAAGTTTGTAAGTTTGACCATCGTTTGTAAATTACTCTCGGAAGACTTTGTCTCTCTTGATACTGTATTAGAATAGAACTTGGGGGCGAGGGATAAAAACGTAAGTGGGAAAGGGGAAGAAACGTGTTGAAGGAGATTTCTCAGTAGCCAGCCACTTCAGAGTGCTTTCATTTAAAACTAAGCAACCTAAGAGGGAATCGGGATTTTTGCCGGTGATTGGATTAGCTTGAAGAAAAGAGCATGGTCCTGAAGTCCAATTACAGACATTGTTAAGACTGAAAAGCTGTCTCCTTTGGGGAGAAGACTACATTCTACCGTGCCCCCCAGGAGGACACCGGAGGGAGAGAAAGGGACGGAGAAACCAAGACAGTCTGCCTTGATTTCCTACACTTCGAACATGACTTCTGAAGCCCCGGGAAACAGCCCTGTTGTTTGTTTTCTAACCTGAGCAGAAGTGAAGGTTGTTGGTTACAGAGCCCAGGCTAGAAATGTGTTTCTCTGCAGAAACACCCCCATAAATAATTTTCTGAAGCAACTTGGTGAGGGGGAGGCCGGGCCTCTGTTAATGACCCTTTTGATTCCTTGATGATCCCTGAATTCTTGAACTATCCCCCAGACTTTGTGTTTACAAAGTACCTGGAGGCTCTTGTCAGCCTGGTGGGGGAGAAAAAGATCTACAACTCTCTCGAACTTCTCCTGAGCTGTCAAATGCAATTAGAGTAAGTTGGTCAGGGTTTGTTTCGAACTTCCCCTCTCCAATTGGTTTCTAATCTTTCTCCCCACCCTCTTGCTACTCGCTCCCCTCCCCCACACCTCCTCCACTATCTCCCCACCCTCTGAAGACCTTTATTCATGTGGCCCTGAACACTGAAACCAGCTTTGCCTGCGATACTCAGCCCCAGACTCTTGCACCTCATCATCCCAGAGGCAGTAATCATTGTGTCCAACAAGATGGGGGACACAGCGCCCCCGCAGGCCCCCGCAGGAGGTTTGGGGGGGGCTTCTGGGGCGGGGCTCCTTGGAGGGGGCTCAGTCACCCCTAGAGTGCACAGTGCTATTGTGGAACGCCTGCGGGCTCGCATTGCTGTCTGCCGACAGCACCACCTGAGCTGTGAAGGACGCTATGAACGTGGTAGAGCTGAGAGCTCAGACCGAGAAAGGGAAAGTACTATGCAGCTCCTCAGCCTGGTCCAGCATGGCCAGGGGGCAAGGAAGGCTAACAAACATGCCAAGGCTGCAGCCACAACTGCCACCACCACAGCCCCTGCACCGCCCCCTGCTGCCCCTTCTGTGGCCTCCCAGGCAGCAGCCACAGCCCCACCACCTCCACCAGACTACCACCATCACCACCAGCAGCACCGGCTGACCAGTAATGATAATGGTGGGATAAACAGAGAGCAGCAACCACCAGCTTCGACCCCCGGGGACCAGCGCAACTCAGCCCTGCTTGCGGTAAGGCACCTGGTTTTCTCCTATGAATGTGGCTTTGGCCCTGTGGCCTCTCGCGAAGCTGATGGTTGTCTTGGCATCATGGGGAATGAATGGCCATGGAGATGGCCAATATATCAGTCTCTCAAAGGCAGCAGGGTGTGCGTATGTGGTTGTAAACTCTTACTGTTAAAGTCACTGGTGCTCATTGTCATTGTCCTACACTGAAGGGTATCCCTTACCAGGTAAGAGCCTGGGTTCTCCAGAGGCTCAAAGGGTCCACAGTTTGTGAAAGTAGAACTTACAGCTGAGAAACCCTCGAGAACCCTCCAGCTTAGCATGTTGGCTCTGGTCAGGCCCAGCAAGACATTCTTAACTTAGTTCAGTTGACCTGTTCGCTTTGCCCCATTGTTCATCCCCTCTGAAGGGCCCTGTCTGTGATCGACATCCCATCGCAGAGTGTCCCCACAGTAAGAGACGTGGGGGAACTCTCAGACACACTACTGAAGGCAGGAATGCTCGGTATGAGAACTACCAGGATCCTTGTAGGCTCCCTAGCCCAGGCCCAATCCAGTCTTTTTTTTCTGGACCCCCCAATAAAGCAGCATTATCTCCCAGAACTCCCAGAAGGCCCTGAGAGCTTTTTTTCTATGGTTCTAGGAACCACCTTGTCCTCAGTTCCTCCTGGTGACGACACAGTTGGGTCCAAGAGCCTGAGTAATTTTCTGCCTGGAAGTGCTTCCTCAGAGAGGCACAGCGACACCCCACCCAGAGGGAAAAGCCTTGAGTCATTGGTTCTCGGTTGTCAGTCTTGGTCAGGTGACCCACTGCCTGTGGTATTCTGGCTTCCCCCAAACTGCTCTGCCATTAGTCTTTCAGTCAAAGTTGGAACCCAGTCCTGTACCCCGCAGGCTCCTCCCACTGGGCCCCTGAAGCCCTGTGACTGGTGGGACAACCATAGCCTAAAACCAGCCTGATGGAAGGCAGAGGCGGGAAGCAGCCATGGGAGCCCCAGAGCTCTCAGAAAACCCATAAGGAGGCTGGTGCTTAGGAACTCCTGAGGGAGGAGGGGGGCCTGTTGCTACTTCTTCCTGGCTGCTGGCCCCCTGCTCTTCATCTGTGGTGATTCCCATGGTTCCTGGAAAACTCTGGGGACTGAGACACTGCTCTTCCCCCACAGGGCACACAGTTTTCTTGGTCTGCTTAGAGCTGTGATTCTGCCCGCCGCCCCACACCAGGTCCAAATGAAAGCTAGCTACCCATAGTTACTCTGGCCTGTGCTTTATCCTTGAATGAAATTATTCAGTTTATATCGGACTTTCCAGGCCTATATTCCTCTCTCTTCCACCTGTTCCAACCCCACTTCTCCCTGAAATTCCCAGCGAAAGGAAGTTTGTCTCCTGAAAGAGAGATCCCTGGGAGAAGGAGGAGGGGGAGAAGAATGAGGTTTGTGTGCATGTGCATGTCACCAGCATCTGTGGCCAAAAGTAACTAAATGCCTTGATTGTCCCCAGTAAATTTATAATCTGTCTGCAAGCCTCCCAATAATGCGGCTTTGTGTGCTTCAGAGTCTCCTGGCAAGTGCTTCTGGGGTGATCCTGAGAGCGAGGCACCCAGGCCAGCCCCAGAGGGAAAGACTGATCCCCGCTCTGGGTGCCAAGCCTAGAGAGAAGCCCACAGGGCGGGCTTGTCCTGTGGCGCTCCCTCCCAGCCTCAGCAAGGCAGGCAGCATGTCCCCTGCAGCCCTCTTTGGTTTTGCTTCTGTCCATTTGGGAGGGAAGTTGATGTGGTTCCCTTTTGCTGGAGTGTCACAGGACACAAAATGAAACCAACTTTAGGTGGCATTGCCTCAGATGTAGGCCAAGGCAGGCAATGGTGCCTGGCCTGTCTCTACTAAACTGTCTGCAGCTGCAAAAGCTGAAGGTGTTTGCTCTGCCGCCCCTTTCTCGGGGACTCTCTTTTCTCTCTCCCACCCACCAACCACCTCCTAAAATAGCCCCTCGCTGGAACACCCTCTGTGAGTGTGAGGATGAAGCAGGGGGTGGGGGGGGGTTGGTGTGAGTTAGGAGAGAAAGGCAGCAGCTCAGTCCGCATGCTCACTTCTCTATGAGAGTGGCTGCTCTGATACTCTTTCAGTTATTGGGAATTCCCTCTGTTTTAGTGTCTAAATTTGGTGCTTTGTTCCTTCGAATGTTACTTGGGTCTTTGAGGCAAATTCTGTAGAAAGCTGCTGTCACTGGATGGGGAGAGGCCTGGGCATTCAGGAGTCTCATCTAGAGGTCTCCCTTGGCTTGGGCATCTCTTGTGTTCAGAGACAATGTTAAAATTTTAGAGGGCTTCTGCTAAGAATGCATGTCAGAATTTTTCCTTATTTTGATTTTCTATGTCTGTAGGCAGATTTCTGTAGTCTAGATGTGTTGAGTGTAACACTCTGATGTTCATTTGTGTGCTTTAAGTGCCCACAAATGCCCTTTAGAGGAAAGAAAAGTATTGATCATCTGAAATCAAATATGTGCGATGCATCTTGGTGAAGTTCCATAACCAGAATGTGACATGCGCCAATGCCTTGGACATCGTCGGTACTACCTGCCAAATGACGGTGAACAGATGCTTTCTGTTCCATGGGATAACAGTTCCATGGGATAACATTGTCTGTGAGGGATGTTCTATGGCAAAGACTATATACTGCTTGGGCTCTTTAATAGCTTGAGTTTGAAGAACAATGCAAGAATAACCTCTAAGTCAGTTCTAATTCTGTCCACTTGAGAGCCTAATTCTGCTGTCCTTACTCAGCCCGTTTCTTCATTTAGCTCCAGTTCAGGGGAAGCCCCACTTCTGCAGAGACTGCAAACCCAAGGCTTCACTGAAAGGTTGAGGTTGTAGGATTCTAGGGAAACTGACCTTTTTAGTCACTCAGAGAAGACTTTAGCCGCTAACTCATTTTCTGCTATCGTATGTTTGACTCTTTGAATGAGCTGTAAAAACTCAACAACTGCTGGTGCATGGAGCCGTTCGGTTGGCACAGACGTGAAAATTATTTTTTTTTTCCCGCTTGTGTGAGACATGCTCTCTTCCTGTGCCACAGACCATTTAGGTAAATAACTGGTACCAGGCCGTCTTCAGTCTCAGACATTGCCGTGGAGGGATGAACACAGATGAGACCCGGAGCTTCTCTTGGTTTGGGGCCTGCTTGATCGCCAGCCTGCTGGGTGGCTGGGAACAAGGCACTGAGCACTCATCTGTCAAGCAGAGATCAGTTCCTGCAGGAAAGCACTGTCATTAGTGAGTGTTTGGGGGAGAAGGAAAAGAAGACAGAAGCTCCACCATGCTGTTGCTCAGCTCCTAGCATCAAGGGGGAATACTGGCTCCTCTGAGCTTTAGAGAGATCCACTCAGCTTTCGCTTGTCTTTTTTAAGTGGTAAAATAGCTTGTATTGTAAACAGAGGGATTGGGCTTGCAAACTCAGGGCTGTCAAGATAAAACCAAAATAGCTGTATATTTAAGTATCTCCAAAGTCCTAGAGAACACTACTCAAAGTGGGCTATGATGTGAAGTCTTATGTGTCCTTCAAAAGTGTCCTTTATACATCTGCACTGGCCCTAGAAGCCTTGGCAAGGTGTGTCCCCAGGGTGTCTAAGGGGCATTAGAAAAGTTGTTTACACAAATGATATGGGAAAGTTAAATATTTTGCCAACAGTATTCTAAAATGCCAGTTCTTAGTTTCAGAAAGCCAAACCAGTTAAATGATCACCAAGTTCCCAGGCGTTTTCTGAGTTTCCGATTAACCAGCTCCGAATGTGAGAGCTGCCCAAGGCGTGGCGGGCAGGTCTGGAAGTCTGAGACTGGATGTCTACATGACAAATCTCCTCTCGGGGACTCTGAGAGGACTGCTTACATTATTTATTTATGCTGCAATCATCTCCTTACAAGCAGACCTATTTTATTTTGCTTCTCCAGAACAAAGTAATAAAGGAGAATTCTCAGCTACCCAGGGCCTTTCCACCTCATTCAAAGAAGTGTAAGGCAAAGGTTCCAGTGGAGGGTTCGCTGCACTTGCAAATGTTGTCAGGAAGCTTGCACTGGTGACAGGGTGAGGTCACACACATGCGGGTGCTCTGTGCTTTCTCTAGGAATCATTTGCTTTCTTTGAAATAATGTTGCTATTAAATACTACTCATCAACATTTTTCAATCTTAAACTTTACTATCTATGGCTTCCCTCTACGTCTACTCAGTTTTAATCACTACGGCATTAACCGGGGGCTTTCAGATATTCTTAGACACCGCGATTAAATACCACTAGTGGTGCGACAATGACGGGTTGTTTTCCAAATTGTATTGTTTACTTTGATTCTTAGCACTGTTATTTCATTTAAGAAAAAAAATACCTAGTAGCAAATTTGAAAATTAAGAAATAATCACCCAGCTTTGCTCTATGTGTGCAGACCAAGCCTTTCGGGGCAGTTTCTATGGACTCCCCCTCCTTATGCCAGCCCCTTGCCTGTGTTCAACATCCGCAGACAAGGCCATCCATGTTTAATGAAAACAACTCTCAATTCCTCCTCCATTTTCATGCTAATTTCCTTCAGACTCCAGCAAGCTCTGTGGGAGAATAAAGGAGATGTGATATGCTACCAACATAGCCCGTGCTGCCCACAGTCCAACGGAGAAATCCCCCCTGCACAGCGAAATAACAGTACAAGTTTCTAGCCTTCAGGATGGCCTAAAACCGACACAGAAAGTTAAAGAGAGAGGGAAGCAAATTTCTGTAAAGACCCAAAGTCCCCAGGGAGCTCTTCCCATGTTTACACCACACCCACCAAACCAGGTCGGATGGGTGATGTTTGTTCTGTGTTAAAACAGGGACACTAATACTAAGGTGGGCATGATAGCTCATGCTTGTAATTCCAGCACCCAGAGGTGAAGGCAGGAGGGTTATGAGTTTGAAGCCAACCTGAGCTACATAATAAGTTCTAGTCTAGCCTGAATATGAAACAGTGTGAAACTTTCTCTTGAAAGACCAAC